CTTGCTGTTCCCATTCTCCCGTTGGGCTGCGTTCAGCGCCCGATGGGCCAGCTCAGACGGCACTGAAGTGAGCGGACAATTGGCAAGGTCTTGCAGTTCGCGGATAGCCTGATCTGGAAAATTGAGGAAGTCCGATTCAGCTGCTCCCACTAAGTACTCCCTCGACAACAAGTTCCTCGGCCACATCGCCTCGTACAACGTGTCGTGCACCTCCTTCTCAGTAGCAGGCAAGTTCTCGAACCTCTCAAGCATCTGCCACAACTTCCTAACCCATCTCATCGTTGCATCGTGGTGGTCGTCGGACTTGAGACTGGCCAAGAACGCGAAGGGGGGGCGCTCGCAAAAAAATGAAGTATACTTGATCTCGTTCGCCACATACCGCCACGCAAACCCAAACAACGCCTCGACAACAAGTGTGTCCTCCTGTAGAGTATCTGGGTCGAACGCGTCACCCTGACGCAAGAAGCCGCACTCGTTCAAGAAATCGTCGTCGCCTAGCATGTCGAACACAGCATGGAAAACCTTGTCTCTGCCACCAGAGGCCATGTCGGTGTTCACGTTGAAGCATCCCATCGCTGTACTTCGGCTCGTGATGTCTTCCATCATTTGATCCTCCACTGGACTCGGGATCCGCATGAGGCCGATGGCGAGTTGGCGGGACGTCCGCATCGACAAGATCTTAGCAACGACTCCAATGGACCCTCCTTGCTTCCTGAAGTCCTTCACCTGATCGGCCTCCTTGGTTGCCATCATGCTCGTGAGGTCCAGGGGTACTGGAGCGTCAGCCTTGATATCGGGGTAGTCCTCCAATGCGTTGTCCAGGTGGATGTCTGGCAGAACGTGGTCTGCGTACTTGTCAACCACACCCCTTGTGAGCAGAATGTACATGATGACTAAATGCAGGATGTCGAAGCTGGGCATGTAGTGTTCCATCCTGAGGCTCCACGCCTGCCACCGATTACTGGCGTAGTTCGTACCAAGGTGGTTGACAATGTGATCGTCCCTTATCTCGTCCCACGTCTGCTTCATGTGATCCTCAGTCCCAAAGTTCGGCGGTCTCCTGCCCTGGCATCTCGACTGCGCAATCCTTTCGTAATGGTGGCGAAATAAAGAGTTGTCCCAACTGCACGAACTGAAATATTCTTGGGCAGCCCGCTTGATGGTCTGATGGTTCGATTCGCTGTTCCATGGCCCCTGTAAGAAACGAAACACTGTACCAAAATCAAGCTTAATAAATGTCAAGTTTGCCTGGCTGATGGCATTCTCTCTGTTTCGAACATGCTTGTGGGGAGGATCGTAGACCTCGTGGCCTCTGATGTCGCCAACGCAGCCGTCCCCATAAAAAAGCCTCAACTTGTGGGAAAATCCGTTCGAAGCACCGTCGAGCACATTGATCAGCATCGGGCGCACGTTGCCCCAAGGGACCTCCAGTCGAGTGTCCCTTGTCTCTTTGTTGATGATGCAAGATCGGCGGCTCAGCCCTTCAGAATTCCTTCGCACGTCCTCAGGCAGTGTGTTGACAGGGATGAAATAACGCATTTCGTGTTCACCTAATTTCCCAACCTGCCCATGCAACGATTGAAAATGCTTGATGCCTCCAACGGGCGGGCAATGACGGAGCTGGTGGTCTAAACAACACAGGTGCGCTTTGTTGGATTTGTATTTTTCCAAGAGACTGCCGATGGATTTCACGTTGTAATTCCGGAAGAACATATCAGCCTTATCGTTGAACCTGGCCAGGGCATCATCCACAAGACAACCCTTGCTGTCAGTAGCTGGGCCAAACCACGATGGCAGTACCTTGGAGCGCAAAAACAAACAGGATGCTAAGGAGGGGCACTGCCTGGAATTGGAGGATAATGGTTTCGAAAAAGGAGGAGGACCCAGGACAGAGGAAGAGGTTAGGAAGAGGGAGCAGTCATTCGTACCTAATAATGACTCACGATTTGCTTTCCGTATGCGGAAAGCAAAACGTGACTCACGTTTTGCCCCCCCTCATATTGTTTTGTACTGTGCCGAACTCACAATTTGCAAAACGTGACTCATGTTTTTCTTCCTGGCAAATAATGACTCACGTTTTTTGTTTGTGACTCACAAATTGGTTGACCAAACCGGAGCCCAGAGGACGGACCAGGGACCGTTCGCGACTCAGTTCTCTACGGGCCACCGCTGGCACCTGACCAGGCCGAGTAGTCACGAAACCCCTCCCCATCTACAGGTGCACGCCACATAGACGCGGCATGCTGCCCCCCTTCCACCCTCTTCTGATTGGGGAGGGGTGAGGGGTCACTTGTTTCGCCTACTCAGCGTGCCTTTCTCGCCCCCCTCCCTTAGTTGTCTCGCCAACTCGGCGTACATCTGCGGTGGGGGGGCTGCCTGAGTTGTTGCACCTACTAGGCCTACATCTGTCGGGAGTGGGGGGGCTGAATCGTTACAGGTACATGGCGCATGTCTGTCGAGGTGTCGGACCCCCATTGTCAGACCTACTCGCGATACGTCTCAGGGGGAGGCTTCTAGCAGGGCTGAAACATGGGAAGTGCAAGTGGCAGAGCTGGCCCACTGCGGGGCCTGGCATCGACCCGTCGACGCCAGCGAGGTTTGCAATCAGGACCCGACCCTGCGTACCTGACCCCATGCGGCCTATGGAGGAAGGAGGGGGACGAGGAGGCTGACTGGGGAGGAAGTGAGGGAGGAGCAGGGAGGAGGAGGAGGAGGGGGGACGAGGATATTATGCATCCCTCTACTCCATCTCGGGTCCTCCTCATCTTTCTTGCCATCTCCCTCTCTCCTCCCCTCCCCGCCTCATTTTGTTTGCCCCCGCTATAGCTGGGATACCACAGGCATGCTCATAGTTGCCAGCGACTCCTTCGCATCGATAACGAGCGTAGCTTGGACGCTCTCGGCTGGCTTCCCATGGCCACTCGCATCCTCGCACAAGCACACGACTCCCAGACAAGTGAGTTGGCGAGTTGCCCGAACTCGCTCCCGCGTGTGCTTCAGGTCCCATTCGCCAGCGGCACTCGTGACAGATGCATGCAGGATACGCGCGCATTTGCGAGAAGACCCATCTGTGTGATCAGTGGTTGCATTGCTGAGTGCCAACTTCAGGTCGCCATCAACTCGCCGACGATTGCCTTTCGGCGTCGTGAGTCCAGCGCTGGCAGTGCGTGGATCTGTAGAGAAACCTAGGCGGTCAATAGCCCTGGCCATCACATCCACACTGTTATTCAGGAGTGAGTTGAATACACCAGCAGCCGATGGGCAATCGTCCCGACTGAGAATGACAGCGTTGAGGAACCTGGCAAACTTGGCCCAGTCTGCGTCAAGCCTGGACTCGGGCAAGGTCCACCTCACAGCGTAGCCCAGATGTGAACATACACCATCCTGCAGCTGCGAGTTGAGGCGCGGGCAGATATTGCAGAACCGTTGCAGAACTGGCCAGATAGCGTCAACGCTCATATGATGTGTTCCGAGGCAGCGTGAAAACAGGTAGGTAAGCATTGCTTGGGCCATGTCCTGATCGCGCCTGGATGCCCTCGTCCTCATCCAAGTGAGCATCCATACAATGAAACCTCGCAAGGATATCGTGAACCCGTCGACCACGTAGTCACCCTCATGCCCCTGCTGCTGGTACTTGGCCGTGTAGGCCCTCATGATCGGCCGAACCTCGCCTGGCAGGTATTCCAATCCCAAGATATTGAGCTCGGTGGCTACTTCCGCCAGCTGGATCTTCAATACCCGAGCAGTGTACCACTTCGTCGTCGTTCCAGAGTAGAAGGTGTCGAGAAGGCCACGCACCTCGAGGAATGTGACATCGTCTTTGAAAACATACAGCTTCCAATCCAGAGGCGCAACTTGTCCAGTGCTCAGCTGCACGCTCCCCTTCAAGAAGTAGTAATCATAGTCTCTAGTCGCATCGGTGGCACGCGTCATGCACTGGCAACTTGGCGTACTCTGGCAAGGCCAATGTGTTGGGCCGCCAGGTCCACCCAACGCCGATTCGAGCCAAAATGGCTTCGATGCTGAGGGTGGTGGAGGGAAACAGTGTCAGACCCAAGTGGGTCGCCATCGCCCTAACCTTGTTCGGGCGGTGTGCCCCTCGCTTTAGGACAAAGGGTGACACGGGGATGACACGGGAGTGGACGCCCAGGGAAGACGAATAAGTGCCAGGAAGACGTTGGGCAGTCAAAGCGATGATGTGCACGAGGGTCTAGACACATGGTTTCGAGCATTTGTTGCGAGGATGTCTTTGGCCAGAGTCCATCTGTCAATACTTCGGGGCTCCTCGCATCGAGTCTCCATGGGACTTCGTAGGCATTGATTTTTGTCTGGGTCTTATTTGGGCGGCAGCGGTGAGGACGCACGAAGGATGATGATGGTGAGGGGGGGAGGGCATCGGTAACGGCTAGGATTGCGGCGATTGTCACGAGGACGAGTGGAGTAAGGACATTGTCGGGAGGGGACGTCGATGTAGAATCCTCACGGGTCCAATTCCTCAACGTTCCTCGTGTCATCGTGGTCGATTCGTCCTCTTCCCCGTATCCCTCCCCGCTCCCCCGTGCGACCCATCCCATTCCCATCCCCTCCGTGTCTTGATGCCGATGGTTGTTCGGTGATCATGGTGATGACGAGGGCCCCGAGGATGAGGATGGCGATCATTACCATGACAGGCCAGTTCTTACAAGCTTGCTGGGTATATCGTTGGACGGACCTCGCAACGCATACCACACAATCACCATCCACAGCGAGCGCGCTTGATCTGCTTACCCTTAGCAGTATCTAGCAAACCCAATCGCCCAACCGTGTGTGAACGTGGCACTCGAGAAATTAAAGTAAGCGGGCTAGGCAGCCCAGCACCAGCATGACAATACGGGCGAAGCATGCTAAGTGGCACGGCTGTCAGACGAGATCGTCTGTCTACTTCGCCATTGTTGCGTCTGGCCAACATGCATACATGTGAGCAGTGACCCTCTGACACTGCAATCTGCAACACGCTCGAACTACTTCACCTCCGCGGGCGGCGGAGGCTTGAACTCAGCAAACTGTGGGGCGATCGGGACGGCGTCGCCACTCACGACCTTCGAAGGCCCATTCGAAGACCCGCGGCGGGATGGAAAACTGCCTTTCAGCGCTGCACCGACCTTCGAGACTGGCATGGGGACGCCGAGACGGCGCCCAACCCTTGTCGGCTTGGCGCCCGCCCCATTGGCCTTAGCATCGCATTGGGCGCCAGACTCAGGGGCTTTGATGCCCAGGCGGCGCCGTTTCGGAGATCCTACTGCGGTGCCACCTGCAGGCGTCTGGATCTGGACCCCGCCCCCCTGCCCCTCCTCATCGAAGACAGCTGCCGACTTGCGGAACATGATGTTCAGCTGCTCGCAGAAGTCACCTCCGTCCTGGCGCACGGTGGCGGTGCGGTAGCTGTGGTTGTTGTCAATGTATAGCTTCGCCTGCCTGGGGATCTTGAGGATGGCCTCGGACTTGTCGACTATCGATTTCACGGTGCATGTGGTGCCAATGATTGCAATCGAGAAGTGGCCAGCCGTGTCAAAATCAACTGGAAGCACGAGACCTTTACCACGGTGGCCCTTCAGCACGTATTGCTCCTGGATGTATGTGATGACGCCTCCTTTCGTGCGACACTGCATTGGGATCGTGTCGGACATCTCGACGTCGCAGAGGTAGGTTATGAGCTGCTGCACGGTGCCCTTGTTCTGCATGCGCTCTCCCTTCTTCAAGAGAAGCCTGAGGTTCGGCTTTGAAAACGCACTGGCATCGCATGCAGTCAGGGCCCTCATCAGCGTTGTGACGTTGACATCGTCAAAGCGGGAACGATTGCGATTAAATGGGACGTCGTCGTCTGGCTCTGCATCTGGGTCAGGGCCCTTGGAGGCACCCACAGGAGCAGGCTCATGAACATCACATGCTTGAGACTGCTCGGGCGAGTTGGCAGGTGCATTCTTGATCGCCAGCGTTGCCGCAGAGGGTGAAGGAGCTGCAGCTCGAGGGCTCGGCAGTGGGGAGGTCGGATCGCTCAGCAGGCCGTTGTTGACAAGGTCTTGCTCCACCCGCCAGCACTCATCAGGCTTCGCCTTGAGAATGGCAGTCACGCGCTCGAAACGAGCCTGCTGTTCGAACTCCTTCGCTTTCAGTCGCAAGCGGTGGGACTTCTGCTCCTTAGTCTCTCCCGCACGCGGCGCCATGCCGCGTAGCCCCAGACCCCGAGACCTCGAGGCCTCGAGACAGACCAGAAACGCACTGTCCGTGCCAAAACAGCTGCGGGACAACTGGACTGACAGCGACGACGCCGACGCAAACAGGGCTGGCGACTCAAAGGACATATCTCTGCAGGTGGACCCATTCAGCACCCAGAACATTCACCGAATCCCCTCAAGAGAGAGGAGAAGAAAAGGCGAGACAGAGGATACTGAGACAGGCTGAGACACGCAAAGGATGAGCAGGGCCTAGAACACAGAGGCGACGCTTGGAGCTCGCACTAGCTTTTATGGGGGGCACTGCGTCACCCCACCATCCCCTGTCAAACACACAATAGTCACGAATGCAGCGTCGCATCAGCGAACTTTTCACGCAGCGTGTCACGTAAACAACATCAACAAATCATTCAACAAAATGTTCGTGACCACCTACGCACACATGAAACGGAATCAAACCCAACACCCTTGCCCTAGCCCGAGACCTCATAACACCGAAATTGAGCCTGACAAGCACATGTAGTGTGCTCGAATGTGTTGTTGTTCCTCCTCGTCCTTGGATCCTTCTCCTCCCGTCCTCCTCCTCCTCCCATTCCTCCTCCTACTCCATTTCTTCCTCCGCCTTCTCCTCCAACATCCTCGTCCTCCTTGTTCTCCCCTCCCTCCCTTTTTGCGACGTGGTAAACGGCGCGTGCCTACGGGCACGCCCGACTCATGGGCACCGTTCCACGCGACAGTCGTTTGAGCAGCCGCATCGGGGGTGGTGCTCCGATCGTGCCGCGATCGACGTCGCGCAAGGCAAGCGCAGCATAGTGTTTCTGATTGCCAGCGCGCTCAGGTGGAGGAGGGCGCGCGTCGTTGGGTTTGCCCTAGGATTTGTTCAGTTTCGGAGCGCATGTGTATTCATGTTTTACGCGGGTGCGCGCGCACACCGTGATGCACCATGCGCGTCAGCCAGGTCAAAGCCGACCGTTTGGATGTCGGGAACACCCGACGCTTTCCAAGGGTGTGGGCGCATTGAAGCAGCAACGCGGGTGATGGTAGAATGTAGTTGGATATTCTTGATATATCAACCGTCTAAGGTTGCCCGCCAACCCGATCTACCCCGACCCCATATCCGTTCTCCTGAAAACCGGGGGGGTCACTATGTACCGGTTCGAACTCCCCCCCTCGAAAACCGGGGGGATCACTACCAGTTCGAACCCCCCCCGCCCCAGTCCATCATGAAAAGGGAGGGGGCCACTACCGGTTCGAACCCCCCCCCCCAGCCTCGAAAATCGGTGGCCCCGGTGGTCACCACCCGTTCGGACCCCCCCCCCTCGCCGCCGGGAAACGGTTCCCGCTCCTCGGGACAGTTGGACAGTGGTGGGGATACTGGGACGGTGGTGGGGAAGGTGGTGGTGGGGACAGTGCTGTGGGGACAGTGGGATAGTGCTGCGGACAGTGGTGGGGACAGTGGTGAGAGGACAGTGGTGAGAGGACAGCGGGACAGTGGTGGGGACCGTAGTGGTGGGGACAGTGGTGAAGGCGGTGGTGAGGACGGTGGTGGGACAGTAGTACAGTGGGGATAATGGTGGGGACAGTGGGGACAGTCGGACAGTGGTGGGGACAGTGGTGGGAACAGTGGGACGGCGCAGTGGGACAGCGGCGGGGACAGTAGGGACAGTGGGACAGCGGTGGGAACAGTGGGGACAGTGGGACAGCGGTGGGGACCGTGGGGAAAGTGGGGAGAGTGGAACCGTGGTGGGACAATGGTGGGGAGAGTGGGGACAGTGAGACACTGGTGGGGGCACTGGTGGGGACAGCAGGAACAATGGTGGGAACAGTGGAAACAGTGGGAAAATGGTGGGGACTGTGGGACAGTGGTGGAGACGGTGATGGTGGGGACAATGGTGTGGGGACAGTGGGGATGTGGTGGGGACAGTGGGACAGTGGTGGAGACAACGGTGGTGGGGACAGTCGTGAGGGCGGTGGCGAGGACGGTGGTGGGACAATGGGACAGAGGTACAGTGCGGACAGTGGTGGGGACAGTGGGGACAGCGGCGGGAGCAGTGGGACGGTGGGACAGCTCAGTGGGACAGCGGCGGGGACATTGGGACATTGGTGGGGACCGTGGGGAAAATGGGGAGAGTGGGGACAGTGGTGGGAACAGTGGTAGGGACAGTGGGGACAGTGGTGGGGGCACTGGTGGGGACAGTGGGGACGGTGGAGGGAACAGTGGGGACAGTGGTGGTGGGGACAGTGGCGCTGGGGACAGCAGTGTGGGATGTGGTGCGGACGGTGGTGGGACCTGGGGGTCGTTTGCCGGCGAGCGATGTGGTGGGGGGAGGGGTTCGAACGGTAGTGACCCCCGCCAGTTTTCTGAAGAGGGGGGGGAGTTCGAACCGGTATATAGTGACCCCCCCGGTGAAGGGGGGTGGGTTCGAACCAGTAGTGACCCCCCCCCGGTTTTCTGGGGGGGGACGGGGGGGGGTCAGGGGGGGGGGGGGTCAGGGGGGGGTGCTGGGGGGAAACGGGGGGGGTCAAGCATGGGGGGGGATTTTCGAGGGGGGGGACCCCCGGGTTCCGGAGGAAGAGGGGGGGGAATTTTCCACAGTAAAGCGGCGGTGGATCACGCTCTCTCAAATAATACCACATAACATCAAAGACATATCGACTATTGAAGTGGAAGGCGCTTGAAGTAGATCGGGCTTGGGGAGCCCAGCAAATACAACTTTCATCGACTGGCGAGTAAGAGAGCGAGTGGAAAAAGACGGATTGGGATGACTTTACGATGGGAGGGGGAGGAGGAAGAAACACATCGAGGACCGCGACGGCATACGGGAATGTTGAGTCGCAGCGGCCGGCTGCAACAACTTTGAGGGAAGGGGGTAATATGATGGCAGGGAGGAAGAGGGTAGAGTAGAGGAGCGAGCGGACGGAAAGGTGGAACGGATGGGGAGGACAGACGAGGGCGGATGGGGACGGGGGGAAATGAGAGGGGATGGAGAGAGGAGGGACGGAGGAGCCACAGAGGAGCACGGACCATGGAGGCCCAGGCTCAGACCCAAGTATTTTCTGCGCTGAGCATTCCAGGACCTCGCATATCATATGCAGGTCGGACGCGCGCCTCCGAGGAGGACACTTGGTACTAGCATGTCCCTGTGCGCCCCAAGCCCAGACATGCGACGTCCTGATTTTGATTCAGGACGGCGTCCCCGGCAGTCCAGACCCGTTCCCCAGGCCGGCTTCTCGTCCCGAATTGTTTTTTTGACGGCCCAGGGGCCCATCGAGGGCCCCCAGGGGCAGAAAATAGTGAAAGACCGGCCGTCCTGATCTTTCACGACGCGATCATGTCTGGGAGTGGTCCTGCGCAGCTCGTCCATATCTGGGATGCTCGGCCCTTGGATGCGCGCGCCACTCTGGCCACGGACGCTGTTCTGGCCTACCCTGAGGGGTAGGGCACGTCCTCCTACAAGCGGATTTGGGACGAAAAATAAATACCAAAAAATCAAAAGTAATCAAACAATGATAGTCAATTCGTCCTCAGACTATTTTTTTTTTGTTTTTTGCAATTTTCCCTTTCGCACAGGGACACGCGCGACTTAACCCTAGCCCTACCCTGGAAGCCACGGGGCCAGGCCAGGCGCCCCACCCCCCCGAACGCCAAAGCAGTCCCCGTAGCCGCCAGTATTCCCCGAATCCCGACGGGCGATTTCTTTATATTTTCGGCCTGGCGATGTTTCTATACTTTCGGCCTTGGGGGGGCCCTACCAGGCCTCGGGACCGTCATAGAGCGACTCAGGATGAAAAGCCGGTCCCGGGGGAAGGGGTCCGGACCTCTGGGGTTCGCGTCATGAAAAAATCACGACGTCGGGGGTCTGGGTACAGGGCATGGGCGACGACCTATAGATCAGCAGTCTGCCAAGATCGCTGACGACGCGCTCGGAGCATTTGCAGACCCCAGCGACTTCCAGGACACCGTGGCCCTCCTGGACATGGCAAGGGCAAAGCAACAATCCGCCCCCCTCACCGAGCGGAAGCTGCGAGCGAAGGCTGCGCTGGATGCAACGTGAAGGGAGAGGCACAACACGTCCCTGTCGCATCGAGACGGTGCACCGCGGACGCACAAACGCAGGCGCAGCCATCCCTGGGCGCTGGCCCCCCTTCGGGGAGAATTGGCCTGACGCGGCCATCAATGACGAGACCCAATCTGAAACTTGACGCGAGCTCCCGCTGCAAACACATCCCACGAAAACTGGACCGTCAAAACCCAGGACGCGCTCGGCAAAAAACGCCGACAAACCCGAGTTCCGGCTTACTCGAGTCTTACGTTTCCCCGACCCCTGGTCCCTAAACGTGCGACGTCCACATTTTTTCAGCACGGCGTCCCCGGAAGTGCGGACCCTTTTCCGGGGACCCGTTTCGCATGTTGAATCGTTTTTTGACGGTCCCGAGGCCCGGCCCAACATTTTTGAAGGGGCCCTGGGACACACAAATAAATATACACACACGCAAATAACAGGATCCCCCATATTTTCTGGGCCTTTGTTTCCCCCCCACTTCCCTTACTTTCTGATATTCTCTGGAACATCGACGATTCATTGTGTCTGAGTGTTTTTTCTCCTCCTGCATTTTTGCGACGCGATCATGCCTGGGTCGGGCACGGCGAGGCCGGTCCGCGGCGCCACCGGAGTTCTTGGATCTGCGCTGGGCTCCCCCTCCCTGGCGCGCGGAGCGCGCCAGGGGCGGCGCCGGAGGCGCCGCGGGGTGGCCCAGCGCGGATCCAAGAAACCCGCGCGGAGCACCAGAAGTTTATGGTCATGGCGTCTGTTCTTCTTCGAATGCCACAGCTGTCGGGCGAGAAGCTGGGCGACCTGTCGGGACAGAGCCCCAGACATACTCGCGTCGTAAACAAGAACCAGGGACGGCCAATTTTTCCCTGCTCGCGGCTCCAGAGAGCCCTCGCTTCGATGAGAAGCCGGCCCCTG